TCTATCTATCTATCTATCTATCTATCTATCTATCTATCTATCTATCTATCATCTATCTATCTATCTATCTATCATCTATCTATCTATCTATCTATCTCAATCAATCAATCAATCAATCAAAGAAAGCACATTTGTGTTGAGGACTACCTGCATTTCATTAACAGACGTACCTTCTTGTCTTCTTGGGGGGATCTGAAGCCCTGTCGAGAATCCAAGCGATCCTCCCTCTGAAATTCTTTCTCCGCCGGCTCTTTCTTTGGGGACAGGAGATGAGGCTGAGTGAAGCCGCCGCTGACCTTGTATCTGTCTGCTGGGATTTTGCTCATGGGAGGCGGAAGCGTCCCGCAGTTGACACTCGACCAACCGTCGGTAGAGTCCGTGTACGACTCTTGGTCGCTCAGGCATCCATGCTGCCAGTCTTTCAGCACGTGGGCAGGCAACCACCTCTGATGGTCCCCGGGGATCTTCTGACCTGAGGCTTTGGACAAAGGCCCCGGGACTTCAACGTGAGCCGAAGAGGCCAGAAACGTACTAAGGTTTTGAGATTTGTCGTTCTGGAACGTGGGAACTAAGCCTACATTTTCTTGTTCGTGACCAAAACTCCAGTGGGGATTCTGAGCTCTGTTTATTGGACTGCCCTGGAGATTGCTAAGTGGGTGTTTGTTGGAGTTGCTGCCTAAGTCTACCACTAAAACCCGACTTTTTTCCTCCTGATTGACGTTCCCGATCCCGCTGTCGCTGTTACTGCTCATGCTGTTGTTCCGCTGGGCGTCCGCATCTCCGTCTAGGAAGGCCCTGGCCCGCACCCCATCAATGAAATCCCCCATATCCCTGTAAAGGACAGAGACAAACTGAAGGACTGGGAAAGATGACAAGGGGAACTCGAGGCAGCCATTGGTGTCCGGATCGGCCGTGCATTCCAATCCGAACCGTCGGGCAATGCCCTGGTGAATTTTATGACTGAAGAGCTCGGGATCCACCATAAAGACGTGACAGGACGTCCTCAGGACCGCGTCATCCTCCGGAGCTAAGCTTGCCTCCTCGATGCTCTGCATGGTGACCAGTCCAAAAAATCGCTTGTCGTCGGGACAGAGCGCGCTGAAGGCCAGCTTCTCGGCTGGATAGGTTGCAATCACGATGGACAGGTTTGTGCACAGCTGGACGGCATTATGCATGATCCGTAGGGCCACTAACGAATGGATGCGTTGCTCGGCCCGAAGGCGGCGCATGCAGCCACGGATGGCCTGCAAGCTGTCGTATTCCAGATTTGAGCTGGAAGAAGGGAGCTCGATGGACCCCAGGTATCCCACAATCATGGCCACGTTCAAAACGCTGGCGTCGATTCCACCACATTCCTGGTCTTCCGGGCAAGCTTGAAAAACCGAGTTGTGGTTCGCGGTCTGGGCTTGCTCATCGTACAGGACGTGGGGTTTATCGTTTGTCAGCGGAGATTCTGTTTCCAACCTGGCCCCCTCGTGGACGGACTTTTCCTTTCTTTTTGGCACCTGTGTCTCGCTTGGGCCAATATTAGAATTTTCGAAGATCATGTTGAAAATTTCACCGGATTGCATTTCCTCAACCACTTTTACCGCCCGGTTTATACCCGGGCCTTTCAGGTCAAGCATGGTCTTTGGCCACCCTTTTCCGTCATAGAGGCCCTCTTCTTCCTCGCTGGAACAAGCTTCCGCATGACCGAACCCTTCGGCAATGACCATGTGCAAAACCCCTGAGCATTTGCCGATCAGCTTCACCACGTCTTCGTGGGAGGCCCTTTTCACATTGATTTCGTTGATGGCAAATATTTTATCCCCTGCCTTCAGTCCCACGTAATCGGCCGGACTTCCTTTTAAAACAGAATTCAACACGCAGGGAGCTTGGCCAGAAAGAGTAAAGCCATATCCCGCTCTGCCTCGGGCAATTTCGACGTTTCGGATGCTGGAGCTGTGAGCCCGTAGCCGACGCTTGGGTTTCTCTCCTAGCCTGTACATGCTGGCATTTGGTCGGGGCAGAATAACCTCTGTCCGGAATTACATTTTTGTGGGTTATCCCTTCCCTTGTCCTAAAGGAAAAAGAAGATCCAAAAAAGAGGTTGAGACTTTGGAAAAATAAATAGAAATTCTTTATTGGCCATGTGTGATTGGACACACACAAGGAATTTGTCCCCAGTGCAGAAGCTCTCAGTGTACATAAAACCTATAAGTGATAAATCATGATCACAGTCGTCATAAAAATACATTCCTCTTAAATCATAAGATACAACACTTAGCAATAGCCATAGGATACTAAATAAGCAATCAATGTAAACTGTACTAGGAAACTAAATAAAATAATACAAATTGTAAAATTACAAGCAACAAACTTATAGTCATTAAGTAGAAAAGTAGGTCGTAGGAAGGACGAGAAGAAAAAGTGCAGAGAAGAGCAACTGAGATAGGCCTGGAGAGTAAAATATGTGAAGAAGGGTTGCAGGATTTGGGTTTGGCCAGTCTAGAGAAAAGAAGGACCAGGGGAGATATGATAGCAATCTTCCAGTATTTGAGGGGCTGCCCCAAAGAAGGGGAGGGGGTCAACTTATTTTTCCAAGCACCAGAAGGCAAAAGAAGAAACAATGGATAGAAACTCATTAAGGAGAAAAGCTACCTGGAATTAAGGAGAAACTTCCTAATAGTGAGCACAATTAACCAGTGGAACAAGAAGTTGCCTTCAGATATTGTGGGTGCTCCATCACTGAGGTTTTTAAGAAGAGACTGGACAGCCACTTGCCTGGAATGGTCTAGATAGGACTTCCTGTTTGAGCAGGGGGTTGGACTAGAAGACCTCTGTCATGCCCCTGTCGGAGTCTGGGACAGATGGAGTCTGGGACAGAAGGGAGAGATGGAACAGCTGACAGGGAGTGGGGGTGTGGCTCTGGTGGTTGTGGAGGAAACTGGGGAAGGGCACAGGCCGGATGGGCATTCAGAGGAAGACTCAGGCCCATCCCCTCTTCATCCTAGGGCATGTAGGGAGGAGCGGATAAGGGAGAAATGTGAGTGGCATGGTCTACAGGGGAGGAAGGGGCCCTGATCCCCTTCATGGGCTGTAGCTGGGAGGACTGTTTAAAAGAACAAACTGTGCATGGCAAAGTTGCTGGAAGCAAAATGTGCATTATTCTTGTCGAGCTTATCTGGGTTTTGGCTTCCTCCCAACTGTGGTTGCTGCCTTATCTGGTAGAAGTCTACAATTTATCATCCTTGCCTGCCATAGTAATTCCTTCAGTGAGGTTTGTGTTGTGTTTTTTATTTTGAATTAATTTTACTTTGGGTGCAGACTGCACTTACTCCCTTCGTAAACTGTTTTCTTTAAGAGTTTGATATCCAGCCGAGGATAATTGAACATTGGGAGCCAAGTTGAAGGCATTAAAGGGAATTTATTCTATTTTTGTGACTTGGTTATTTTTGTGACATGCCCCGAGTCATCACAACCTCCAAGGTCCTTTCCCACTCTGTTATTCTGTTGTGGGTGCTCCATCACTGGGTTTCAGCAAACCTGGCAGGGCTTTGACAGACTCGCTGCAGTTGTTAAATTGGTCTCATTCGGTTGTTAAGTGAATCCGGACTCCCCCGTCAACTTCACTGTTCAGAATTCCCTAAGCCATATTCCATGGGTTTCCCAGCCATTTAATACAGGCAGTCCTCGACTTGGCAACTACAACCGAGCCCACAATTTCTGTCCTTAAGTGACACGTTTGCTGAGTTTTGCCGAACCTTTAATGAACTTGCCACCGTCGGTAAGTGAATCACAGCAGCTGGCAAGTTAGTAGCCCTGTTGGTGAGGCAAACTTGGCTTTTCCCCTGGACTCAACTTACGAACCTAACGGAGCTCAACATTTCTGTCGCTAAGGGAGACATCCATGTGAGTTTTGTCCCCTGTTACGACTTTCCTTTCCCCCTGCAGACTTTGCCAATCTGAAGGTCGCCAAAGCAGATCACGGGACCCCCCAGGGACCTCGGGATCATCAAAAATATGAGTCGGTCATCAAGGGTCTGAAATTTTGATCCCAACCCTTAGTTGGGGGAAAATGCTGCACTGGTTGTAAGTTTGAAAAAGGGTCATACCTCGCCTTTTTCAGGGCCGAGATAACTTTGAACGGCCATTAAACGAAACCGTTGTAAGTCCAGGACTGCCTCTCCTGCAAACCCCTGGGCTGGCGAATTGACTCAGTTATCCCGAGAGAGAGAGAGAGAGAGAGAGAGAGAGAGAGAGAGAGAGAG